AGGAATTCTGAAGACTGGTTGCTAAACACAACCCTTATTAAAAATTAATGGATATCAATGCACAATTAAATGAATTCTATGAAAATCCACTGTAATAAATACCCAAAACTCATTTCCTAGTTATTTTCCTACCTTTCATTTTACCTATGCTCTTGTGTGTATTCACCTTTATTTTGGACCTGTATGATCAGAGTATCACAGCACTATGCACATCTCTTCCCCGACATTGAGTGAAGTCATGCTTAGTAGTGTGACATCAGCCAGGTGGGAATATTCATAACATGGAAACCAGTAAATGCTACAAATCAGGGCTTTTTATTTTTCAGAGAACTAGATGTTGAACGTTTAGCAACACACCCCTGGATGGAGGGGAGTGTCAAATGCCTTTGCCGGATTTCCCAGAAAAAAAAATAAAGCTCTGTAACTACTGCAAAGTGATGGAATGGTCAAATGTATATTCAAACAACTACTAAGTTATGAGTATAAATCGGTTTTATTCTGTCATAAATATAAAAGTTGCTATTTTTTAAAATAAGATATACCACAAGAAAAAAAGGAAAAGACGTGTGTCCTCCTGTCCCAGGAGGCCCTGATGCCTTTTGCATGCTGTCCCTTAGGTCAGAATAAGTCATGTTGCCAAGCCCACGCTGAACACAGGTGAGGTGGGAACACCTTGGGACCATTCCTAAAATCAGCCCACCATCCATGCAAACCAGAAGTACTAACATCTCGATGTTCCCTAGAGTCTATAGCATTTCTCCAGTATCCTGTATCTGTGGGATGACAAAGATGTGAACTTTAAAAAGGAAACCAACAATAGAAATCTATGAAGTATTCATGTGTCTCTGTGTGTGTGTGTGTGTGTGTGTTTTAGTAAACGATGACTTCTAAAAGTAAAAAAACTACAAAGAATTTTAATTAAAAATAGACTCTACAAGATAATTAGGCACATCTTTCCAACTATACATATCAGTTGGAAAGACTAGACACACACTATCTTATCCTTCAATTTTTCTCCCTTCTTAATTGATATCTAAGTATATCTCTATAAAGCTATCATTGACTGAGCAGAGGTATAGCTATTTTCTTGACATAAAATATTTTTACTCACTTTATTCTGACAGGGTCTAAACAAACTCTCAAGGAGTGTTTTTCTTTCTTAAGAACTAAAAACTTAAAAACACTGGACCCATTCATTCATGTACATATGTATCTCATCAGAGCTGGGCCTATGAGAAGACAACCACCTGCCTATGTGATGTAATTAAAGAGTACCAGGAGATCCCCTTTGCTGCCCAAGTACCCCCCAACTTCCCTAAAGCATGGGATACATGTTTAATAATTTTAAGTGAATCTTTCATGAATGAGAATTTTGCTGCTTAATATCAAGCTTAGCTAAATTCAGGCCCAACAAAATGATGTAAAAGATAAGTTCTTGGGATGGGGCAAAAAAAGCTAAGTAAGAGAAGCAGAGAGAAAACTTTTGCAAAGGAATATAAAGAGATTTTTTTTAAAGCAACCTTTTATTATTTTTAAAATTTGGCTGAAATTAATAATTATCTAACTAGTCTGTTGAGTGATATAAATTTTCCTGGGGTGTAGGTTGCCTGAAGCCTGCAGAGTGCCCTGTGGATGATATCCTAATTGGGGGCTAACAGAAAGCGTGCTTTGGTGCTCAAGAGGCTGCACTTGGCCTACTTCCATTTTAAGGCACTGCAAGGGCATTGTGAGGTTTTTCCAGCTGTGTTTTGGGTGTTGGAAGAAAAGCCAGCGTTTACTTCATTCTCAGAGGAAGGGCCGAAGGAAGTAGCTGCAGCTCCCATTTCTAAGATTGCTCCTTGCGACCACTGCTCCCCAGCCCCCCAGCAAGCCTTTCAAAATAAAGATTACAAATTGGGGACTATATTACATTTTCTTCTTTTTAACATCTTTACGTTCTTGAATTCTCTTCTGATTTCCCAAAATCTGAATATAATGACCCTACCCTACCTACCTTTAGTCAATTTCCCAAGTATTGATCATTTAAAAGAGCTACTTTATTCCATAAACTAATCTCATTTTCTGCTTTACCATCAGAAAGAATGTAATCTCAGGTTTCTGATGCAATTAACCTTTATTTTTAAAGACTAAGGCTAGAAAGTCCTTTCCTTAATAATGTCACTTATATCATTTCATTCCCCATTAAGAGAGAGGAACAATTTTCTGAGCCTTTCTTTTTTTTTTTTTTTTTGGTCACATTTATTCTGAATTCATTACAATTAAACAAGAAATAATCTGACTTATTTTTTAACTACCCGTGAGGAAAAGGGATGCATAACTAAAAAATGAGCAAGATTACAAGGACAATAAGTTGCTTACCTAAGATAAGAACTTTCAGCAAATTTATAAGAATACATTTGGTTACAATTAATATAAAAATATAAATCCATCATTGATGGGAATGTAAAATGATACAAGTACTTTGGAAAACAGTTTGCCAGTTTCCTAAAAATTTAAACACAGAGTCACCATATGACCCAGCCATTTCCCTCCTAGGGATCTACCCAACAGAAATGAAAACATATGTCTGCCCAGAGACTTGCACAACAATGTCCATAGCAGTATTATTCATGAAAAGCAAAGCTGGAAACACTCCAAAAGTTCATCAGCTAGTGAATGGGCAAATTGAGGTACATCCATACAATATATCAATAAAAAGGAGAGAAACTGCTGATACATTCCAGAACACAAACCTCAAAAGCATTTGTGCTTAACAGATATTAAAATTAATATGGTTTTAAAACAGCCTTTGTGCTTAGTAACAGAAACCAGACACATGAGAGTACATATTGTATAATTCCATTGATGTGAAATTTATTGAAGGAGTAAAATGATAGAAACAGAACACAGATCAGCGCTTGCCTCGGGCTGAAATGTGAGTGGGGATGATCTGCAGACGGGCATGAGAGAAGCTACTGGGGTGACGGCGGGGTTCTAAAAGTAGGTTATGGTGGTGTTTGCACAACTGTATGCATTTACTCAAACTCATCCAGCTGCCACTTAAAATATGTGAATTCATACCACATAAACTCTACATGAATAAAGCTGTTCTTTAAAAGAACATATCTAATAGCAGGAAAAATAAGAAAAATCTATGATCACATATTTAACTTTACAAAAAGAAACACAGAAAGAATCAACCAGAAACCTTAAAGTTGGTTACCTATAAAAGGAATGTGGCAGTAAGGATTTGGGAGGGAGAGGCGTTTGTACAGATATAAAATAGAGAACAAACGGAAACAAATAAGTCCTATTAGATTTCAAATGAATAGTGTAACAACAGAAAAGAATAGAAAAAGAAAGACCTAATCTGAGCAGTGTATGAATACAGTATTTAACATTACATACTCTTAATTTGTAGTTCGTAATGGAACACAGAAGAAATTACAAATGAATCCTGAACTCTTTTTCAATACACTTGTTTTGCATGGAGGCAAGGATGAAACAATTCTGAAACTATTTCAGATGTGTTATACAATTGAGCAAAAAAGTAAACATATTGTGTGGGAGATCCAAGGTTATCACCAGAAACCACACACATACTCAAATATGGAATAGAAGGCAAGAAAAATTCCTGTGGGGATAGATGAAAATTGAAATTATTGCTGTGAATTCATGATTTCTAAGTTATGTTCACATGTATATATATTTATCTATGTATATGCATATGTATATGTATATTTGTATATATGTATGTATGTGTATGTATAAATAGACATTGATTTTCTAGTTCACACAACTGAAAAGTACAAGAAGCAAAGATGCCCCAAGAACAATGAGCACACCTCACACCCAGATCCTGATTTTAATACTTTTCCCCATTATAATGAGCCATGACTCTTTGTAGAAATGGCTTAATTTAAGTGTGGGGCAGGTAGGTACAAGAAAAGCCTAGAAAATCTTCTAATGTCAGATGTTGAGGAGGTGTTCAACATGATAGACAGGGAGAGTGTCACCTCACATGGACCAGGAGCCAGTTCGTAGAGGCTCCACTGGCTAAATCTGGGAAAACCTGAACCCCAAAATAATCAAATATAGTAGCAAATTTTAAATAATTGAAAAAATAGATATTCATATGCCTATATCTATGACAAATATACAAGCAACTGGGAGGAATAGAAAGAGTTCCTGCTTAAAATAGAGTTCTAAGTGCCAAATGGTAAATGGAGAGAAAGTCCTAGAGTTGGAAAATAACCATTTGCAAATATCATAGTAAAGATTGGTTCAGCAGAAATAATGAATGGACACTGAATCCAGACAGAAATTTTGATAAGGAGCAGAATATTTGCATAATATATAAAGTAGAGAGAGAAAGAAAGAAAGAGTATTTCCCCACAGATTGCATATATATCTATATAATAGATATATAGATGTGTAGTGAGCTATATAATAGATACATAAAGAAATATATATGAGAATAAGAGAGATGAAGCAAATAGATAAATTGTTTATAGTAGGTGTATCTGGGTAAACAGTATAGAGATATTTTTGGTTATACCCTTATTCATGCAAGTTTTCTATGTTTGAAATAATTTCCAAATAAAAAGTTTAAAAATTGACAAACAAGCCAATAACCTGAAAGTTACCTCTTCCCAGGAGTAGGTCAATGTTAACAGTTCTATTTGTGTGTATCTGGATGATTTCCTCTTTTTTTACGATTTTATTTATTTATTTTTAGACGGGAAGGGAAGGAGAAAGAGAGGGAGAGAAACGTCAATGTGTGGTTGCCTCTCACAATGCACCTACTGGGGACCTGGTCTGTAACCCAGGCACGTGGCCTGGCTGGGAATTGAACTAGCGACCCTTTGGTTCCCTGGCTAGCACTCAATCCACTGAGCCATACCAGCCAGGGCTATTTCTGGATGATTTCTATGCATTTTTTTTATTGTGGTTATGTATACAAAACATAAAATTTATTATGTTAACCATTTTTAAGAGTACAGTTCAGTGCATTAAGTACATAAAAACTGGAATGTTTCTGAACTTGTTTGTTGTCCTTGCCCAGAGCCTACGCTGACCTTCTCTGGGTCATTCCAATTCTAGTACATGTGCTAGCAGGAGCAAGGTCTCTATGAGTTTAAAAGTACATATTCCAATATTATAAATGTAATCACACTATAAAAAAATAAAAAAGGAAAAGAAAAAATTGAAGATGAAAGACAGGCTTCTCTAGTAAAACAAGACAAAAAGTTTTGTGACCAGTAGAACTGCAGGCATGTTTAAGAAAGCTATTCAAGCAGAAGGAAAATAAGAACAAATAGAAATTTTAATCTACACAAAGGAATAGAAAATGCCAGAAATGGTAAATATACGGGTAAATACAAAAATATTCTCTCTCTTATTTAATTTCTTTAGGAGATATTGACAATTTTAAGCAAACATAATAAATTATGTGGGGTTTATAACATATGTAAAAGTAAAATATATGACAACAATTACACAAAGGACAAGAGGAGGAAAGTTGAAGTATACTGTTTTAAGGTTCTTACATGTCACTTGAAATGAAATATTATTTAAAGGTAGACTGTGATTAGTTATGATTAGTTAAATAATGTAAACCCTAGAACAACCACTGAAAAAAATTTTACAAAAAGATATATTTAGTAAGCCAATAGTGGAGAAAATATGGAATCATAAAATGATTAGATTACTGCATATGAAAAATGGAACAAATGAAAAATAAAACAAAGAATAGATCAGGACTAATGGAAAACAAATGCAAAAGTGGTAATTTTAAACACAACCATATCCATAATTACACTAAATATAAACGGTCTAACGACCCAATATTCCAGCCCTGACCTGTCTGGCTAAGTTGGTTGAGCATCATCCTGCAAAGTGAAAAGTCACTTGCTCAATACCCTGTTAGGGCACATGCCTGAGTTAATGACCTCCATCCCTAGTTGGGGTCCATGTGAGAAGCAACTGATTAATGTTTCTCACACATTGATGTTCCTCTCCCTTGCTTTCTCTGTCCGTTCCCCTCTCTAAAAATAAATAAAATCTTTAAAAAGAAAATGCTCCATTATCCATATATCAAATCATTATGTTATACACCTAAAACTAATTCAATGGGGTTTGTCAACTATATCTCAGTTTTTAAAAAAGGCATTTCATTAAAAGACAAAGATTGTCAGATTGGATAAAAATAAAAAAAAAAAAAAAGCAAGACCCAACTATAGCTAGCTACAAGAAACCAATTTTAATTATAAAGACATGGGCAAGTTAAAAATAAAATGGTAATAAAATTATCAAAAGAATAATTTACAAAAAAACTAGAAAGATAGATAAATATATGCTCCACGAGCACTAGGTAGGCAGAAGAAACATATTAACATATTACAAATTATATTTCAGATCAAGAGATCATAATAATAAAAGGATTAATTAATCAAGAAGATGTAATAATGCTAACAGTTTCAAAATACACAAAGCAAACACTGATAGAACTATAGTTACAGACTTCAACTCAAAATCATTAAAACATTTGGACAGGAAATCAGTAAGAATACAAAAAACTTGAATAACATTATCAACCAACTTAAATTAATTGGAATTTGTTTTAAAAAATCTACCAAATAGCAACTATGTATTTTAGAAAGCCATGTACTTTAGATGGAAAGAAATAAAACTGTTATTATTCACTGGCTGCATGGTTATATGTATTGAAAATCCTAAGAAAAGCAACTATAACGGAGAAGAATATTTCACAAGGTCACAAGATACAAGGTCAACACACAAAAGTAATTGTTTCTATATTCTGGCAACAAACAATTAAAAATGAATCATTTTAAGTATATCTTTACAATAGCATCATAAAATATAAATATTTGGGGATACATTTGACAAAATTTGTGATAATATGTCAATGATGGCTGTAAAATATAAACACATCTAACACATAACCAATAAGAATCCTATGTGCACAATAAGATGCTATCCTATATATTTAGCTTGTTATTGTCTATATTATTTCCTTCTATCACATTTATCTAAGAAATGTAATAGTTGTTTAGGGTAACATAGTAATTTATGTAATAGTTTGCTTTCTTTACCAAGGCAAGGAGGAGAATTTTGCATTAGTAATAAGGTTTCATTTGCTTCAATACTGTGTAATAAATCATGATAGCAGCGTTCCTTTATTTAAAATGACTAAAGATAGAACTTTCCATCAAGATGGTGGAACCTTCTAGGTAAACATGGCTCACCTTCTTGCAAAACCACATCCAAATTACTACTAAAATATAGAGCAACCATCAGAAATAGAGTTGAATGGAGGTCAGACATGAAGGATACACTAATTGAAATAAAGAACAATTTACAGGAAAGCAACAGTAAAGTGAATGAAGCTGAGAATCCAAACAATGATTTGGAACAGAAGGAAACAAAAGACAACCAATCAGAACAACAAGAAGAAAAAAGAATCCAAAAAAACAAAGACAGGGTAAGCAATCTCTGGGACAACTTCAAATGTTCCAACATTTGCATTATCCGGGGGCCCGAAGGAGAAGAGAAAGAGCAAGAATTTGGAAGTCTATTTGAAAAGATAATAAAAGAACCCCTTCCCCCAGCTTCCTTCTTCTTCTTCTTTCTTTCTTTCTCTCTTTTTTTTTTTTTTCTTTCTTTCTTCCTCTCTTTTTCCTTTTTTTTTTTTTTTTTTTTTTATTTTTTCTAATTTCCCCCCCCCCACCCCCCCCTACATTTTTTTTTTTTTTTCCCTCCCTTTTTTTTTTAACCACCTTCCCCCCGGTGAAGGAAATAGGCATGCAAGTCCAGGAAGCACAGAGAATCCCAAACAAGAGGGATGCAAAGAGGCCCACTCTAAGGCACATCATAATTAAAATGCCAAAGGTTAAAGATAAAGAGAGAATCTTAAAGGCAACAAGAGAAAAGCAGTCAGTTACCTACAGGGGAATTCCCATAAGACGGTCAGCTGATTCCTCAAAGGAAACTTGGTAGGCTAGGAGGTACTGGCAAGGAATACTCAAATTCCTGAAAAGCATGGACCTACAGCCAAGATTGCTCTACCCAGAAAAGATATCATTCAGGATTGAAGGGCAATCAAAGAGCTTCCCAGACAAAAAAAAACTAAAGGAGTTCATCATCACCAAACCACTATTGGATGAAATGTTAAAGGGACTTATTTAAGGAAAAGAAGATCAAAACTATGAACAATAAAATGAAAATGAATACATCTATCAACAACTGAATCTAAAAAAGGAAAAGAAAATAATCTAGGCAAACAAGAACAGAGACAAAATCATGGATCCAGACAGGGTTCTGATGGTTGCCAGATGGGAGGGGAACATGGAGTAATGGGTGAAGAGGTGAGGGGATTAAGAAGTACAAATAGATAGTTACAGAGTAGCCATGGGGATATAAAGTACAGTTAAAGAAATGGAGTAGCCAAAGAATTTATACACACGGCTCATGGACATGAACAATGGTGTGTGGATGCCCTGAGGGAAGGGAGGGTTTTAAGGGGAGGGGAGCAAAGGGGGCCCTGTAATAGCATAATAAAATATAATCTAAAAAAAGAAAAATATAAACATTTAAAACTTGCAGTAGTGTATATTTATAAGGATGTGAAGCAACTGAACTCTCATACACAGCTGATAGGAATGGAAAATAGTCCTGCCACTTTGGAAAAGAGTTTGTCAGTTTCTCATTAAATAAAATATATATTTACCATATGACCCACAATTCCATTTCTGGAGATTAACACAAGAGAAATGAAAACATGCAAATAAAGACAAGAATAATCATAACGGCTTTGTTTATAATAGTCCAAAACTGGAAACTCAACTAAGATCATCAACGACTTAATGAAAAAAGAAATTATGAACGGTACCTGGCAATGTGAAGGAACAAACATCTGAAATATCCAAGAACACACCACACTGAAATTGTTTTTCTTGTTTCTGTTCTTTTGCCCCATTAGCTGCCTCCCACACACCTCTGCCACTATAAACTCCTTGAGATCAGGAACCTTTTCCTCTTTTTCATCATATTCATAGTGCCTTGAACAGAGCCTGACTAATTACTGAATGCCCAGTAATTAGTTGTTGAATAAAAGAATGCTCTTGCTTTTTAATGTTCATGAGTTTCTTACTTTGCCAAATAAGTGTGTATAATCAGAGTATTGAGTTCTTTACTCATGCACTGTTGTGGTGAAGAGCAGCCTCCACTTTGACCTCTGGATGACTGGTCAGCAGTTTACAAGGGCTTAGCAAAAGCTTCTGTGCTCCTGCTCCATGCTTCTCTCCTCTTGATCCCTGAGAGGTTTGAGCCCAAGTTTCTTCCAACCCTACTTTAGGCTGAGGCACAGCACCAGCCCCAGCCTCAGCGTTTGAATTATATGCTCCTTTGGCCAGGCTTTAGGAGCCAGCTGGCAATTTGGCTGTGGCAATGTGTTCTGGCTCTTTTGAGTGTGGTTTGGGCTCATTGATATTCATAAGCTTGCAAAGAGGAGGTTATCTCACCAGGGAGGCCGGGCAATGGAAGAAGGGCCCTTCTCTGGTCACTGTGGCCCTGAGAGTAGCCCAGATGCTTCTTGAGGAATTCCTTAGGTTTGCTTCCAGTTGGAACAGACTTTTCAATTTTGAGCTGTAGGCGTTTTGGCCTCCAGAGATGAGTATCCAGAAGTCCATGCCACCCTGATAGACACTAAGAAGTTTTTGCCTCTCTTGGGTCCCCTGATATGTTTTTCATTGAGTTAAAAATGTGTTTCCAGGCCCAGGATCCCACAGCAGCTAAGAAGGAACCCAGAGCAGAGGGTAATCTCCATGGTGGCAGAGGTTGCTGTAGTTCCATGGGCCCGCAGCCAAGGAGACTGTTTGTTCTTGGAATAGATTACTATTTCTGCTTTTTTTTTCCCTTATGGTTGGGTCATAGAGTCATAAAACAAGCATGCCCTTGCTTTCCTTAATTCAATTAATCCATTTCTCCAGAATAAGCACTCTTAGCTCCATGTTTGATTTCATTAACTGGTGTGTGCATGTGTGTGTGAGTAAACAATATAGGATTTTAACCTACATGTGCCACACTTTCAGGGAGTTGTAGTG